AATGTACTGCAAATGTCAAAATAGCAAAAATGACTTGCATTAAAAATAAATCCAAAATCTCTATTACGTTTCTAGGAACAGAAAACACGGTTATTACAATGATCTATTATATTCCTAATATTTTTCAGGTATTCCATGACTGAAATAAAAGATTTTGAGCCCTAATTCCATTGTATAAACTCATTAGCAATGCCTGTTGTCTAACAATATGAAAGCTGCACCACAGAAAGAAGCCCCCATTCAGATCTATTACAATCAATGTAGTGCAGTTAGACTGTACCACCACAAGATGGATACCTGCATCTGTTTTCTAAAAGCAAAACATACACTAAATGCTCAGACAACAAAAACAAAAAAGAAAGAATCTCACCAAAAGCCTTTTTTATAACTAATATCGGCACTAGACCAGTGTGGGTAAAGATAGCAGCTTACAACAAGCCCGATATCAATTGTGAGGTTTACTTAAGTTTGTTTTCGTTGTTCTGCCAGTTTCAAGGGAGCAATTTCCAGTGATGAAACTGAACCGCTCTCCTTGAGGAATTCATTAGAATGAGAGGAAATAGTCCCCTTGCCGATGCCTTTCCTGGAGGGAATAAGCCGGACGTGGACCCTGGGGCACGAGCGAGCGCGACACGCTGCCAGCTAATAAAGCTCAGGGCTAAGTGGAGACAGTCGCTAAAAGAATACAAATAAACATGAGTGAGCGACGCTTTGGGGGATTGATTGGCATGTTCAATTAAAACGACTCAGAATATAGTTTTACGTTATGCAAATTTTGCATATACCTTGTCAATTCAAACTTTAAATAACCACAACACCAGAGAACAGGGTTTACATCATTTAATTTTTTTTTTTTCATTTCAATTAGCATATAAAGAATTAATGTGCATCTAGAATGTTAAACATGTTCAAATAAACCGTCAAAAAAGACCAATAAATAAAAAGTTGCCTTTCCTTCCCCTCCCAAATGATTTGGGTGAAAGTAGAGAGAGTACAGTCTGGCAGACAGTGAGCGTTTGATTCATGTGTGCTTTACCGCGGTAAAGGATCCAGATCTCGCTGGAACAGGCCTTGCGTGCCTCGTCAAGATAAATACATACTATTATCGATAAGGCAACAAGCATAATCTGTTACGGTGTTAACAAAAGACGAAAGAAAAAGTGATTATTGCAAAATACAGTAAAAAGAAAAAGGTAAACACTAAAAATGCTCTCGACTAAAGATACAAAAAAACATACCATTTTATACTTGGTACTATCACAGCAAAACATACTGTCTGCAAAAGGTGCTGCGTAATAGCTGCTGTCTGGATAGTATAACTTCATACGCTTGTGTAACTCATATTAGACCGAGTCTGCCAAAGATCACAAGCCACATTCTGGAAAGCAGCACAGGTCAAGACGGTTCGGTGAACGTAGCGGAATTGTACGGACTCGCACGTTGCGTTTGGAAAAAGTCGTTTGTAAACGTACCTCTTTCAGATGCTCGGTTGTCGTAAACCGATTGAATGATGTAATCGTTGCCAATTCTGTATAAAAACGTGTTTTGGTTTACAGGAAGAAAGGCACTGTTTTTGCGTTTTCTGAAATACGAAACAAGGCACTATGAAAGATGTGTGACTATTTAGAAGTTACTGCATTGCATGTGAGGCTTTTGCTTTAATTATTTATCAAAGTTCAAATATCAGCCGTAGAGGGGCGGATACTGGAAAGGATTTGCCTTTGAGAAACGGACTTCATCCTGAATGCATTATACGAAATCTGGCGAACGCAAACGTATTGTCATGATCTATGATTTATTTAATGCATTTTAAAAGGTCTAAGGCTTAAAATCCTAAGAAGTATTGCAATAAATGTTTAGGTGCAGGAAGGACGGACAGGAGATAATTGGATTGAGTGCATGTTTGTAAGGTTTAGATATGGACTAGTTATTTAGTCCTTGGAAATTGCGACAAATACCACTATGATCTCATGCTCTTTTAATAGAACGACAAACCTCTGAAATTTCGAAAGGCAACAAAGTTGCTTTTTAAGGGGAATTTTAATTCTTTTTTTATAGAGATGTTTTTCTCGTAAGGTTTCGCTGTGAAAAAGTTCTTGGAACGGCTGTTGTGGGATTTTCAAAAGCATATCAGATTTACATTTCATGCTAGTGACAGAAAAAAACAAATATGCAATCATCGCATGGTACCAACATCGGAAAGAGCGAAAATCAAGTCAAACCAGTTTACAACACTGCTTATTTTTCCTTTTTCTTCTTAGAAGTGCTATATGTAAAGGTCGGTTTTGTCTTTTTGATGTAGTTCTAGTAACCCAAAAGCCTTGCTTTGTGCCGTATGTTGTATTTTTTGTACTGAAAGATGCCAGGTTTATAGTCATAATATACATTACATATTTATTTACAAATGTATATATTTTCATATTTTTACATATATAAATTACAAAAATAATATAATATATGAATGTACACCAAGTATTCTGGACTTTTGCTAATGTAGACTATATTTCATAATATAGTTAATTTATACTAAATATTTTTAACATTTTGAAAAAATATTCAACACACAATAAAACCTATAATGATAATAAAAATAATAAATATTATTATTATTATAGAAAATTTAAAGTAGAAAAATTAAAGAGCAATCTTTTTATAATTACAATAATAATAATAATAATCATTAAAAATAAATAAAAACCAATTGAATACATCACATGTACAACAGTTTTAGTCAGTCTGGAGCCCCGTATTAGTCATTGGGTTAAGACAAACAAGATGATTGACTAGGGCTGTCGCGATAACCGCAATATCGCAATACCGCGCTATTGACGAGCAAACCACAGAGGAATGCAAGAACCGCAGCAACCGCGATTCTTGCGTGTTTTCTTTTTTCGTAAGGTTATGCCCTTCTAGTTTTACACTTCATGCATGTGGACTGAATATTAAACAAGTTAGTAATGATAACAATGTGTACCATGCTGATTTGAACAGAGGCTCCGTAGATTTGCACTTAACAAGCCCAAACAGACAGTGAATGAGAGAGAGATCGACTGAGTGCGTGCAATTACTTGCTTCTGTCCTCCAGGCCGAGTCATATATATTTGTGAAAATAGGTTGTCATGTCCAAAGAAAGCGAAATCTCTGTCTTAGCATCGACGCATAGCTGGTCAGCTGAGCCTTCTAAAGTGGCGCTCAAAGTTAAAATGATTTCAACCGCGTGTTTCATTATGTCTCTTTGAATGAATGAATCAGCGTTTTTGAACATGTAGTTGAATGACAGTCCCTTTCCACCACCTTGTGGTGCAACACTGTAACTGCACTGACTGACAGGCCGTCTAGAACGCGCGCAGGTGGAAATATCAATAGAAATTCTCTTACAACTAGGCTAATTGTTATAGATATAAGCTAACAATAGCCTAACGATCTTATTGTCAGGTTTATGTTCTGTTATGTGGACCGGTATTTTGTCATTCTCTTCGGTTCACTTCACTTCTCACTTGTGTGTGTGTATATAAATATAAATATATATATATATATATATATATATATATATATATATATATATATATATATGTATGGCGATAATACTGCATACCGTGCTACTGAGCCACTCAAAATTACCGCAAGAGAAATTCCCTCACCGCGACAGCCCTATGATTGACAAAAATGGCAAGCATTTCAGAGCTCAGTGAACAGGAGAGCCGAGGGATATGCTTTAAGCAATGTAACTTCCAGCAAGAAGCCCTCTGGCCCTGCGAATGTTTGTTAATTCTCCGCTACAAACATTCTAGACCAAAAAAAACAAAAAAACAAAAAAAAGTCAGGTCAGGGACGCGATTGAGAGTCGTGATGCTGCACTGAGAAATAAACTGAGCCCAGACAAGCAGCAGCAGCATCATTAAAAGTGGGGGGAAAGGGGGGGGAAAAGCGGAAGGAAAGAAAATGCCCCTGTGTCGGATCACCATGGCAACCGCCTCTCTTGCCGGGGCCTGGCTGCTGTTGCATGGCGCGGCGTCTCCTAATCAGCCCGGCATGTGAAATGCAAATGCAGACAGTCTGAGAATTAGTGGTGAAGAAAAGGGGGGCGGCGGCATTGGGGGCGAGTAAGGATGCAGATATGTAAAATATTCAAGCTTTTGCATGAGAGAAATGTGGGGGGTTCGAAGGTCTCGTTTTTCCCCCCCCCGTTTTAAGGGGGGCTGTCTGTCAGGTGAGATACAAGGAGACGGTAAATGACACACCAAAGATGAACGGCTGACACTTTTTTGCCTTTCGCCTTCAGGAGCATTGTTTACATGTAGACAGGGAGGGAGGCAGGCCTTCCTGCAGCTCTGGAAAGCTGAAGGAAGTGCTGAATGGAGGATGAGTCGTGCCGGGCTTGTAAATAATAATAACGGCAGCTTTGGTCGGACGTGCTGGATCTATCGGAGGATTTCGATAGCTGACATCAGAGAGTGACAGCATGTTACGAGGAAAGACCAGCAGTGCTGGAAATTCACAAGCTGGTTTGGTGATGGTCTACTTGATGGACTAGTATGAACTTGCTGTTCACAAGCATGGGAACTACAAGTTAGACACTGCTAACTAGTTTTAAAATGTAATTATGTCATCATTTTCTCACCTTCATGTTGTTCCAAACCTGTTTGACTTTTAAAAAACGACCCAGTGTTTTTTGTACATACAATGAAAGTCAATAGGGTCCAAAGTTGTTGTTTTGGACCCCACTGACTTTCAATGTACGGAAAAAACTGTTGGAATATTCTTCAAAATATCTGGTCACAAGAGTGATAGGGAGTAAATAAAGACAAGATTGACATTTTTGGGTGAACTATCCTGTTAAGGACAACAACAGAACGGATGCTCCATGTGATGTAGTCACAACAATTAAAGGAGAACTTAAAATTTCCTGATAATTTACTCACCCCCATGTCATCCAAGATGTTCATGCTCGCAAAGAAATTAAGGTTTTTGAGGAAAACATCCCAGGATTTTTCTGCATATAGTGGACTTCAATGGGGATCAGTGGGTTGAAGGTTCAAATTTCAGTCATTTTCTTAAAAATATATAAAAATGTATATTTTTAACCACAAATGCTCATCCTGCACCAGCTCTGCAATGCGCATGCGCGACTACACACAATGCGTACTCATGTTGGAAAGGTCACGCACAGTTTCTTCAATTCTTCGCCTGTGTTCGGTCTGACATGGGGTTGAGGAAATCATCAGAAAATTTTCATTCTGGAAGTGAACTTCTCTAAGGTGAGGTCACATTTTTGGCAAAATATCACAGCAAATCTGCATTAAAATTTCCTGCGAAATCTGCCTTCCTAATTGCGTGGATTCTTATCGGGATGACTGAATTTTGTCTGTGAAAATTTGCCGTACAACGTTAAATGTGACCGCAACTTCAGAAGAATGAAATACAGAAAAAGAAAGTGTGTAAAAATCTCTTGCGCTTGAAACATACCTCTTCAGAGTAATGGTCAGATGGTAGTGGCGGGTAGTCACACTGCTCAATCTTTTTACACAGTGAGTAGAGGTTCATTTTGTCCCCGTAGAATGGACTCTGCAAGGCGGCCATCTACGTGAAGAGAAAAGAAAAGTGAAAGGCACTTTAAGAGAGAAGGACGTTTGGTTCCAGATGTCTTGTTAGCTTAAAAAAATGGGTTATAAGTTCTTATGGAACAATCTGGCAAGGTTCATTATCATGATCATTTCAATTCAATTTATTCATTCCTTAAGTTTGCGATTTCATCAAATGTGTAACTAGCGAAAATGCATTTACAATGACTTATATTTTACTGTTATTTCCATGGCTGTGCCATTAAATGACTTCAGAGTTCACACCTGGAGGCTGAGTAAGTACCCATATCTCTCAGATACAATCCTGCAACGCACACTAAATCTTCATCAATCAGGGGCTGACTGTTTGTGGAAGAGACTACTGTGTCCCATGTCATAGACGGCAGCAGACAACTGCCATCTGTTTGCTCAAGATGTCAGAAACCTAAGAGTCAAGTCTACAGAGCAAGTATCATGTCACTCCCAAGACACTGTGCGTTACATTAATGATATTAAGCACAAAAACATTTTTCATAATATAATAAATTCATTAGCCTAACTATAGGATGTTTAGCTTCTTGCAGTATTAAGATAGAATTCAACTGATGTGTGGAGACAAATGTACTTATTTTGAGCATTTCACTAGCTCATTTAACTTACAATTTCACTGTTTTGACTCAAAGTTGTATTTTTACTTGTGAAAAGGGGGAAAAAATGAAAACTATAATGACATTATTTATTCACCAACATGTCATTCTAAATCTGTACAACTTTTATTCTTCTGCTGAACACAAATGAAGATATTTTGAATAGTGTTTGTAGTTACACACCAAAATGATTTTTTACAGAAACGCTGAAACTGAAATTAAAGTTCAATTAGTAATTCAATTTGGGAAATTGTGTAGTTGAACCATTTATACTGTTTGGGTTGTCATGTTCTCAGGTGATAAATTAAACCAGTCTTAGTAAATTTCTTGGGCAACGAGCCACTTCTCTATATTTTTGGGTGAACAAATTTTATAAATTGCTACTCAAGCATCATTTGTTAAAACAAGGTGAAGTGAGTCCACACTGCTCAAGTTTACCTGTTGCATCCTATCCATGTTGTGTGGGCAAAATGGATACTGACACAGTCAAAACATGTCATCATAGACAAGCTAATTAAACTTTTTGGCATAAAATTATTTTTTCGCCATTATGTCTTTCCAGACCTGACTTTTGGAAAACATCTCAGTGTTTTTGCACATACAGTGGAAGTCAATGGGGTCCAAAGTTGTTGTTTTGGACCCCATTGACTTTCAATGTAGGGATAAAAACGGTTGGAACATTCTTCAAAATGGACAATGATAGTAAGAACATGTCATCGGAGACAAGATAATTAAATTTCACTGTTTTGGTCAATGACTTCATCGGAAACCTAATTTTTATTTATTTTTTATTGATGTTTTGACTGTATATTTTCTATTGCCACAATTTTAGTGGATCGCTGCTTTTTTTGTCCATATATATAATGGAAACAACCCCATCAGAACCTATTGACTCACGGTTTGGCCAAAAACACTAAGATGCTTTTTAAAAATATCTTCTGTGTTGAGCAGAAGAAACAAAGTCATACAGGTTTTGAACGACATGAGAGTGAGTGACTGATGACGTGCTTTACCACTAATCACAGATGGCAAATATCTCCAATAGAACCAATACTTTAAAAATGTACATGAACTGTAAGTTTGTCATCATTAATTTGGACACATTTGCCAACTCATGGCCAATTAGCTTTCTATATCTGGACTGAAACACTTACAAAGGAAATTTATGGATGTCCTGTCTCAATAAAGCCTTAGAAAAAGGACTGTGACATTTCAGCTTTTCAGTATATGTTTTGTGGAAAAAAGCCAGAAAGAGATGAACAACACTGTCGACGTCACAATTCCAGGACATAAGTCATGGTGGTACTGAAGACATGCAGTGCATCCTGGTAGCCTGGAGCTGTGCAATCCCGCTCAGCCAGGAAGGCGATGCTTTGATGACGTTATGAGATTATGATACTGCAAAAGCAGACTGGCAAAAACAGCCCCAAGCAAATCCACTAACTGTGGGTGAGGACATTTTCAGAAAAAAGCTTTCCAGATGCCAAGCATGCGAGCCACACAGTACTCGCACGAAACCACTACACCGCAAACGCACACTGGACGAGAACTCAATTAAATTGACATAGAAGGACAGAGAGGAAACGGCGAGCGAGTTAACGGGGGTGGGGGCGAGGGGGGGTGTGATCGAGCGAGGCGAAACGACGGTCTGGGCTGTCAGAGGAGGAGCGGAGGAGAGGAGTGCAGAGTAGCAGAACTCATGGAGCAGAGCCGGATTCATCACTGCTCTGCACGAAATGGGAACGGGAGGGGCGGAGGAAGGAAGGGGGAGTCCCTCTCTGATCCCTGGCAGTGCTGGAACTGGGAGGACTGGGATGTTTCTATAACATGTAGCACTCTTACAGCAACCAGAACTTCTTGTATATGATCTAAATGTGACAGAGCAAAACTCGTCAACTCGTGTTGGGGTATTGTGTTAGCGTAAGTCCAAACAGACCACACCTAAGTGTCAATGCCAGCATTCACATAGCAGCAAAAATACAGTTAAATGACATACAAACGAAAATGATAATCATATTCTATTACCAAAGCCACTTCAATTTTAAGATTCACACTTGTATTTAAGAGTTTGGTTAACCTATGTGGTGTTGCAGTTTTTTCTTGTAGAGTTCTTGTCCAAAAAAAGCATATCGACGTGAAAAAAAAGTAACTAGGGATGCAAAAAAGGACAGTGACATTTCAGCAGATGTTCTGTGAAACGAGGCATGACTTTGCTAAAGCAAAAAGAGATGAATAACAAACGAAAATGTGAGTTATGCCATCTGAAAGTTTTAGATCCAATCACTGCCTTCAATCAAAGCAGCTCCAAAACATTCAAAGCTGTTGTCAATTAATCGAAATATGACAGATGATCTCATTTATATATTGATAACATAATTTTTTTATGTATTTGAGTAATATATAATATGTATTCAAATCAGGGGTGTTTTCTCTGAGGAGGCAAGGGATGCAGTGCCCCTCAAAATATTGGATGAGGGGAAAAAAATAGTACAAAAAACCCCCACCAATATTACTAAATATAACATTAAAAAGTGCATCACTTATCTATAAAAACACGGATCAACAGCGACACCAGCAGGTACAGCAGGAGTCGGTGTCTCTCTAGCCTCCCCTGAGCCCACTGAGCTTTAACAGAGTAGCAGAACTCATGGAGCAGAGCCGGATTCATCACTGCTCTGCACGAAATGGGAACGGGAGGGGCGGAGGAAGGAAGGGGGAGTCCCTCTCTGATCCCTGGCAGTGCTGGAACTGGGAGGACTGGGATGTTTCTATAACATGTAGCACTCTTACAGCAACCAGAACTTCTTGTATATGATCTAAATGTGACAGAGCAAAACTCGTCAACTCGTGTTGGGGTATTGTGTTAGCGTAAGTCCAAACAGACCACACCTAAGTGTCAATGCCAGCATTCACATAGCAGCAAAAATACAGTTAAATGACATACAAACGAAAATGATAATCATATTCTATTACCAAAGCCACTTCAATTTTAAGATTCACACTTGTATTTAAGAGTTTGGTTAACCTATGTGGTGTTGCAGTTTTTTCTTGTAGAGTTCTTGTCCAAAAAAAGCATATCGACGTGAAAAAAAAGTAACTAGGGATGCAAAAAAGGACAGTGACATTTCAGCAGATGTTCTGTGAAACGAGGCATGACTTTGCTAAAGCAAAAAGAGATGAATAACAAACGAAAATGTGAGTTATGCCATCTGAAAGTTTTAGATCCAATCACTGCCTTCAATCAAAGCAGCTCCAAAACATTCAAAGCTGTTGTCAATTAATCGAAATATGACAGATGATCTCATTTATATATTGATAACATAATTTTTTTATGTATTTGAGTAATATATAATATGTATTCAAATCAGGGGTGTTTTCTCTGAGGAGGAAGGACCACCATATTTTCATGCATCTTCTGCTTCTGACAGATGAAAAATGTCAACTGTCCTGTTTTTATTTTGGAATTTTTGCACTATTCATCTGGTTCATTAGTGCCTGGGCGCTCTTGGCCCTGACAGCTGCTCGCCCCGTGCTCCCGGCCCCTGAATTTTTCAGGCTAATTTGATTCGGGGCGCCCAGGCGATGGGCAAGATGATTGACTTGCTCCCTGACCCCCGGAGCCCAGCAGCTCCCCTCATTGGTATTCCAGAGGAGTCCACCCCGCACCACGCTGGCCTGCTGTCTGTCTGCGGGGCTTCGGCTACCGGTGCATGGTGGCGAAAGACACACGCGTTTACACACTCACACACAAAAGAGGGGAGGGGAGGGGGGGGGGGAACGCACACACAGACACCAAAGCTCAGAGGAACATACTTAAACAGAATCTCAACCACCAACACATAAGTGCGCTGACACAAATACACACCAGACACGTAAAAACAGCCACACCTGCTCAGAAAAACACACACATAGATAGATGCTCACAATATCACAACAGGAACGAAAAACAACTAAAGACAAACACATATGGCCACCCAGATAGGAAGACAAAAACAGACTCTTTTCTAATACCTACCTGAATACAACCTGACTGCCCTGGCTTGCTACAATACCTTTTTAAAGGGTGAACCTATAAAAAGGCCAAACTATATTTTTTATATAATATATTTATACAGAGCATATTTTTTTCTATATGCAAACGCAGACACAAATTCAGAAGAAAAAAAAACAACACTCAGGGTGGCGACAGAGTTAAAATTTCTGAGCCATTAAAATGAATTTTCATAGTTATATTCATTATAACACATTTTGGCACACCAAATCACGCTACCAAAGTGAAACACACATTGTTGTAATGTAAACAATGGCAATTCCATCTGCTTCGATTTACTAAAAAAATTTTTGAAGATTTATTTTTGCCCTTTTATGCCTT